TTCTTCAGATAGCACTAGTCCTTTAAACTAAGGGCATCATATTGGGAGCACTGTGGCAATTAGGGCCCCTAATCTGTATACACCTATCATATTCTGAGCTATCCCATAGCCGCACCTCAAAATTTGATATGGTCTTTGAGATAGGTATTATTGAGATTAGAGTAGCGTGGGCCACAATCCAAACAAGCTTGTTCTCCCCTTCTTCCTCCAAAATACTCAGCCCTTATGGGCAGGCTCTCTTCCCTTCCAAAAAATGATGGGTTTTCGAGGGACCTTGCATATGGACTTTCCCCAAGATGAACATTTGTCAGTCTTGTCACACCTTGTGCTAATCTCTCAAATGTCCCTCTTTCTCAAGTGGCTATAGCTTTTACACATGCCAATAAGAACAATTTCAGCTTAATAATAACCATGCCTAATGCTAAAGAAATAACTCACACCCAACTCAACCTAGGCTTCATTTGAATGGGAGAACTCCTGGCCATCCTTAAAGTATTGGAGTTGAGCCAGTTAATGCCCATAAACATTTTTTCAGACAGCCAATAGATGACCCAGGCATGGAAGCTATTGTCCTATGCTAAACTAAAAACTCTTAGAAATCCCACCTTCATGACCATGAAAGCAATACAAGACATGCTGGAGAATAGGAGGCATCCCTGGTATGTATTCCATATTTGATCACACTCAAGACTGCCAGAAATGCTGGCTGCTGGCAACCACTATGTAGATAAAATGAACATGACAGTGTTGCTGCCAGTGCTGGAACAGGACAGGTGCTTATACCAACAATTCCACCTGTCACTTCACAACTTCCATAAACTTCTGCCTGACTTGCCCCTGTCAAGCTATAAGCACCTAGCATTTACTTTTTCTGCATGCACCTCTTAGCACCTTTGGGGCCCCTGAATAAAATGAGAGTAAATCCCAGAGGCCTAGTTACTAATGCACTATGGCAAATGGATATTACTCACTATTGTCCCTTTGGCAACCTTAGGTACATGCATGTGATTTTTGATACCTGCTCCACCTTTGTTTACGTAATAGGCCAAATGGTAGAAAAGGCATCACAGAAAATCAAAGCTCTAAAAACAACCATGATGGTAATGGGAGTATGCTGAGTACTTAAAACAGATAATGGCCCCACATACACCTCCCAATCATTCAAGAAATTTCTGCATGATTGAGGGATCTAGCACATGATGAGGATCTCCTATAACCCACAATGAGAAGCAATTGTGGACAGAAAAATACTGCTCAATTAATGAGGCGCTATCTAAATTACCACCAGAATTCAAGAGAGACCCACATTTGGCCATCGTGGAGATTATTTTTAAAAAGATCTTGGCTTTGGTGATGGAGGCCTTAGCCCAGCATACAAACACTGTTAATCCACCCACAGGGAAACCTTACTCCTTATAATAAGATGGAGGGATCCCCTCACCAATATCTGGCAGCCAGCTCTCCCCTTGTTGACAAGTAGGCAAGGTTACAGCTGTGTCTTTCCACAGGATTGTACCAAACTGATATGTACCTATCTGAGATGTCAGGCCTGCCACAGACCAGAATATACCTGACCAGGAAGATACACCTTTGCCTATATCCTTGGTATAATTCATGTAATCATGGGTACAACCTTGGGTAATTGCCATATTCCAACCATACAGACATGGCTCATTACCAACACAGAGACAGGGGACATAGCAAATAGAACCAAATCTTTACATTACCCTGGAGGGACTGGATTCTCTTTATGCAGACATATGTGACTTGGTAGTAGAAGCTTGGGACCCCTCCAATCAAAAGCTATTTCCAGGATATAGTTGTAATCCCCCCAGGGGTTGAAGTAAAACCAGAGGTCTTGGGTTCTATGTGTGTCTGGGGCACTAACAAACCAAGGGAAAAAGATGACACAATGTGGTGGCATGAGTAACTATTTCTGCAAGGCCTGTGGATTTGAGTCCACAGGTGGGATAGCTTGAACGTCAAGCTGCTGTACAACATGCAGGAAACATGAAAACAGCAGGTACTGGCACCTGCACTTTGGAGGGAACCAAGTGGACTGTGGTCCCTGTTATGACAAGGAGAGGTTCCCCTATCACCCATGTGCCACTCAAAAGAAAAATGCTATCAACTAGTTATCAAATTCACAGAGTTGGGAAAAAGGCAAGACTGGTTGGCAGGCAGCCAGATTATATTGCTCAGGGTAGAATCCTGGACTATTGTTTACCATAATACACCTCCAAAAGCCCATAAGAATGACAATTGGACCTGACACCAACCTTGCCCCCCTCAAAAGAACCTCCCAGCCTCCAAGTACTACTGCCACATCTTTAACCACAGCAGGAGAGAATTCTACCATTGTCTCCTACATGATACTTACCACTATACCACAGTAACCCCCAAAACCTCCAACCTGGAAAGAATCTCTACAGAAGCCCCTAATACTGACCCTCTGCTAACCAGCAAAGAGAGTGTACAGAGTCTTAAACTCATCTATACCTAATATAACCATCTTTTGCTGACTCTGTTATAATACAGGCCCACTGTATTATTAGGGAATAGAAACAATGGGCTCTTTTACAAGTAGTACTGATTCAAACTCTTTTCGCTAGAACTCCAAGGCATCCCTTACTCTACAGCAAGCAATGTGTAAGGCCTTTCTGTGGGAACAGTTCCCTCTGCTCATCTAAACATTTGCAACCAGACCCATGCACTGTCCAATAGTTTGCAATACCTTATTCCCCACAATGATATCTGATGGGCCTATTCTACAGGATTGACACCTTGTGCTTACACTATAGTGCTCCTAAATATAAAAGGGTTCTGCATGCTAGTATGACTGGTCCCCAGACTCCTCTATCACTCAAATGAGGAATTTCTCAATAGATGGAACATGACCTCAAGGAGCAGCATAAAAAGAAAGCCATTAACAGCCCTTACACTCACTATCTTCCTGGGATCCAGCCTTCCAGGAGTCAGGACAGGAACAGCCTTATTAATTACTCAAAACCAACACTATGTCAGCCCTAGCACAGCCATTGATGTGATATAGAAAGGTTGGAGAGCTCTGTCTCCCACCTTCAGGAATCTTTATCCTCCCTTGCATAAAAAGGCAGGGGTTGGATTCAATGCACCTTCAAATAAGGTAGTTTATGTGTAGCCGAAGGAGAGGAAATGTGCTTTTATATAGATCACTCTGGTGTAGTGAAAGATTCCATGGCAAAACTAAGAGAAGGACTCAAC